TCAAACATTTCAAAATTCATTTTGATCAAGACACGGATATCCCTGCCGATACAAATCATCTTCATTGAGCCATCTTCCCGCGTCTCAAATTGGCAAACTGCGGGTACTGAACAGAATCAGAAGCACACGTCGTTGAGTCTAAAGGTTGCACCTCTACACGAATCTTGACTGAATAATAACGTCTGCTATTACTTTATCGTCATTCAGCGAGTTGAGACGTAACAATATATTGTAACAATATAATGTCAATTAAATTTCTAGTTGCTGTTTCATCACTAGATATCTTTAAAACAGAAATATTGCTTCCCAACCAATAATCACATTGTGCTGAAAATACTGGTTCTTGTCCCGATTTTCGAGCCAGCGTCATACATGAGAAGCAACCTAGCAGTTAAAAAGGTGAGTTGTAAATAGCATTAAACAAAAATAGCACTAAACATAACTAATTTAATAACTAAATTATAAACTATCACACCAGGTAACAATAAAACTTGCTACGGATATCCGGCTGGCAGGGAGGGACAGCCTCAACAACGAGGATTCACTAATTGTAAGTGAACGGAAAGGAACACACGGAAATGGTAGCTCATTTAGTACACTAATCTCAGCTTCTAATAATAGAATAACTATAATAATAATTAAAACGACAATAACAAACTATAATAACTAAACAATAACAATAACTAAAACTATAATAACAAAAAGAAAAGAATACCGATCGAAAGAGAAAACATAAAAATCAACAAAACATCATCACTCTAAAGAAACAGATTTTCAGTTTTTAATATGGAAGCAATTGAATAGGAAATGGACTTGGAAAATGATAATTCCAAACAAGAGGAATCATTATCAAAGAAGAAAAAACCACACTCAGTAATAATTCATGGCAAGAATACCTCACATACCAAACTAATGGCAAATATACGTCGAAGAAAATTTTTTTTTATTAAATACGCAACTAACAGATTAACACACATGTACAATTAGTAACTGCAACAAACTAATCATGAACTTAGATGAAAACACACAGTATCATACTTACACTAGCAGAAAAGACAAAACAAAAGTCTTCGTAGTCCATCTACCATATACAAGAATAAAATGGGAATATATTATGGGGATATATTAATAAAAAAGTAATAACACAATATTGCCAAAAATGGAAGCGTGC